TTTCCAGCCTGCCTCAGCGAGCTTGGACAGTGTCAGTCTTGGTTCTTTTCGGCGGGGCCGGTAGCAGCGCGTGCTTACCTGCTTCGTCTTGCACTTGAAACCTTTCTTGGCCTCGTAGGGCCACTTTCCGCCGAATGTGGCCTTGCGTGCCTCGATCATGGCTGGTTCGAGCGGGTGCACCTTCCCGTAGTCGCCCAGCTCCGCTTCGATGGCTGCCATTATTGCCCACCCGCACGTGGGCGAGTGCTTCAGATGCTCCTCGAGCGGCTTGTCGTCCTCTTCCCAGCCATCGAGAGACTTGCTGCACAGAAAACACACCACATTGTCGGGGCTGCCGGGAAACGGATCGAAAAGGAATCCTGCCCTCGCAAGCTGATGTCGAGTGTTAGCAAGACGGATTCCCCATGCCACCCCATACAACCAGAGATTCACTTACCTCGATGGGCGAAAGCGACTTGTGCGGCCAGTGCAGGGCCTTGGGGGCTCGAGAACTCGCATTGGAGCCCCTCTTCTTCGCAACAGGGTGCGCATTTTGGAAAGTGGCAAGTCGGTTCTCGAACACGAAGTGCGTCTCATCAGCAGCATCGGCCATGGTTGGGACTCGAAGCTCTCGACTTCGACTTTGCCCGGTTGTGGCAGGCAGAAAAGCGACAAGGGATGTCGCGGCCGATGGGTTCGAAGGAGCGGCTGAAAAAAAGGGAATAGAGTGGACGCCGGCCAGATCAAGGGAAGCGGTGCATACTCTATCTGCGCATGCAAAACAAACGATACAGGGCGCGCTGGTGAGGCTCGAATTCGTCGCTGGTCCAGCTTGGGATGTGTTGCGCGCGCAAGTCGATTGCTTGGTGTGGTGGGGAAAAGTGGAAGTCGTCACAACCGTGACGCGACCACGATTGGATAAGCCCGCTCGCGTTTGTTTACTTTGCCTTCGTTTTGAATGTGGGGGCTTGTGATGGTTGCCAACGGTCCAAGCTCCTTGTTTGCCAGCTTGCCAGCTGCCAGTTCAAAGTTGCCATTGTTTGTTTGAAATGTGGCATGTGTGGCTTTAGATTTTTTTGTCCTCATGCACCGCCACAATGCCGACCAAAGCCAGACTTCGAGCCAGCCAGTGCCGCGCCCACCCACCTTCCCCAGCCCCACCTGCCACTCCCTGCCCCACACCACCAAAGTCAGGTTGGGAAAGTCAAGATGAACATGTCGAGACTCGAGTCAGTCCTCCTGCAATTGAGATGACCGAGAACCTCGATAATTTCTCCTCTCGCCGATCCATCCCTGGCCTCTGCGCTGCGCCGTTGCCGGCAGTCGAAGAGACCAATTCCCTGCCTGTTTTGTGCCAAACCCCTCTTTTCAGTCTGGGGTCGGGCAGTTCCTCAACTTGGGCTTGCCTGGCAGACCTGGCAGGTGCTGACTTGTACCTGGTATCTCGAACCACACCCGCCCCCTGAAAAATAGGGGGAGAGGACGAGCATTTGGCGATCGACTCACGATGGGCATTCATAATCTCATTTGCATTATGCACTTAATATAACGTTTGCTGATTGTCCTGGACAGACCCTCTATCCTTTATTACCTTCATTCCGCTTCTCTGGGGATGGCCGTCTGTGAAAGAAGGGCCTGTCTACGGGCATGGTGCTTTGCGTGGCGCCCGCTGTGTGCACCATTCTGTACCTGCATCCTTGAAACGAAGGCTGAAAAGCACGTGACGCACACATAAAGTCAATTCAGCCGTCAATAACCACACTCTGCCCTATTCCGTTGTGCGTTCAAAGTGAGGAAAAGGGCCCAGGTCCCGCCGCTCACCGGCTTCCCTTTTGGACCATCTCGACTTCACCTGATTTTCGGGGACCCTTCAAGTGGTCCTCGGTCTCGATGGAGTTGCTCACCCGGCGATGGTTCGGCATCTGGGGCTCAAGGCTTGAAGCATTCTGGACCTCGTCCGTTTAGTGGCCGACTTCGCTTGAAAATAGAGTTCCACAACGGTCGGCCGAGAGGCTCTAGAAGCCTGTTCCTCCCCACCCTGTCGTCATAGAGTGCAGCGCTGCAGGTGAGCTGGGGCCCGTAGGAAATGTTCCTGAACTCCCCTGAACTCACCGTGCTGGGGAGGCACACACCTTGCCCTGCACTCGGTCCACTGCTTGACTAATAGCTATAGAGTTCATGGCCTGTGAGACGCCCAAAATGACGGATCGAGATGTGGGATCCCCACGATCATCGGCCATGCAATGCATCACGGGGTAAACGGGCAAGGGCAGCATACCTGATTGCAGTTCAGATGGTCTGGATCGTTTCCGACTTGGGCACCGCAGCACCAAGGCTCGCGATGGCCTCAAGGGGTACCAGGGGTGCTGCGGCAAAAATGAGGGTTATCGGTTGTTTCCGGCTTCGAGACATCCATGGTACTCCTGGCTAGGGTTCCTCTCTCCTATCCTGACTCGGCCTTCCCCATGGTTCTCGTTCTTCGCAACCCACTCCTGCTCCCTTCGCCCTCTCGACGTGTGGACTATTAAATACCCCCTCCGACCCCAGAGTTTCCGGAAGACTGTTCTATTCATCTTTCCGCCATCTCGCTTCAACCGTCGTCTCCAGCGCGCCTATTCAACGAGTTCAAAGCCTTCAACGTCTTTGAACCAACCTCGACACCTCCCTACGCCGAGCCACGTGTCTGTTGGCCGCCAAAAAAAGCACAGCCTTCAGCCACTGACGGAGGTGGACGAGAGAATACAGGGTCTGGAGCGACAATGGCGATCTCATCGGTCTTTGGGAAGACTCGCTCCAAGAATGATGAGAGGTCCGGATCGTTCGTGGCCGGCTCTGGCAAACACCCCGAGACGACTTCGGATGACGAGCCCGAAATTGGCCAGTCGCAGACGGTCGAGCTGGACATTGAGCAGCTGAAAAGAGCCGAGGGCGAAGACAAGTTCCACAGGTTAGGTTGGAAGCGCCTCACCATCGTGCTGATCGTCGAGGCCATCGCCCTTGGCAGTCTCAGTCTTCCGGGCGCTTTTGCCACCCTGGGCATGGTGGCGGGCGTCATTTGCTCGCTGGGCATCGGCTCCATCGCCGTCTACACCAGCTACGTGGTTGGCCAGATGAAGCTCAAGTTCCCGGAAATCAAGCACTACGCCGACGCCGGCCGCTTGATGTTTGGCAAAATCGGTTACGAGATCATCAGCTTCATGTTCTGCTTGCAGCTGGTCTTCATCGTCGCCTCGCACGTCCTGACCGGTTCCATCATGTGGGGAAACATCACCGAAGATGCCACCTGCTCCATCGTCTTCGCAGTCGTCTCAGCCATCATCTTGTTCATTCTTGCCATCCCGCCAAGCTTCGCCGAAGTAGCAATCCTTGGGTATATCGACTTCGTCTCCATCATCGCCGCCATCCTCATTACCATCATTGCCACCGGCATCAAGGGTGCCCAGGCCGAAGGTGGTCTTGCCGCCGTCGCCTGGTCTGCTTGGCCCAAGGAAGGAGTCACCCTTGCCGATGCTACCATTGCCGTCAGCAACATCGTGTTTGCCTACAGCTTTGCGCTCTGCCAGTTCAGCTTCATGGACGAGATGCACACCCCCGAGGACTTCCCTAAGAGCATCGTGGCCCTGGGATCCATCGAAATCTTCATCTACACCCTGACCGGAGCGCTCATCTACGCATTCGTTGGCGTGGATGTCAAGTCGCCTGCTCTGTTGTCTGCCGGTGGTGTCATCTCCAAGATTGCCTTTGGTGTTGCCTTGCCCGTCATCTTCATCTCCGGTAGCATCAACACTACCGTGGTCTCCAAGTACATCCACGGCAGAGTCTACAAGGACACGGTCGTCGTATACGTCAACACGCCCAAGGGATGGATTACCTGGCTGGGTCTTGACCTCATTGTCACCGTGCTAGCTTTCGTCATTGCCTTGGCCATTCCATTCTTTTCGCCCCTGCTGGCCATCTCGTCATCACTCTTTATTTCGGGCTTCACCTTCTACTTCCCTTCCCTCATGTGGTTTATGTTCATCAAGGAGGGAAAATGGCATGAGCGCAAGAACCTGTTCCTGAGCGGCTTGAATGCCCTGTCTTTCTGCATGGGCATGATTGTGCTTGGGCTGGGGACATACTCTGCCATTGAGGACATTGTAAGCACCCACATCTCTTTCTCCCACATTTTGTTCGCAGTACAGAAACTAACAGCTACCAGTTGATCCGATACAGAGATGGCAAGGTCAGCACACCTTTCTCTTGCGCCCCTCTGGGTTAAAATCTTCGTTACGAATTTCTTCTTGCATCAATCAGCTGCCGGTGTCGTGGAGAAAGACATACCCTGGCCTCTTGTAACATTGGGCGACCCAATTATCGAGCAGTTTGGTGCAAGTACTTGGGCATGCAAAGCCTGTCATGCCAGCGAGCATCAGCAGCTTACCTAATGAGCGTTGCGGTACGGACAACAGTATTTGGGAATCACGAGGAGTTCAAGCATCACTTGGCTATGCGGATGGAGAATTGGTGTTTTTCGGGTCAACAGAGCTTTGGAGTTGGGTTCTGGCCTTTTGGATTTTTGGATTTGTCCTTTTTTGTAACTGTTCAATCAATACCTAGCTGAAATTTCCATACCAATCTTCTTCTTTGCACTCGTACCGGTGATCACTCACTCTGACGCACAAAATATATTGTGTCCAAGCATTTTGGAAACAAGAAAATTCAGCTTCTTACATGCTCCACTAGAACGAAGTTGACTAAATTTCCCCCTGAAACATGCTTCATGTGTCCAGCGCACTGCCACGGAGTTAAAACAAAGTTTAAGCTTCTTCAATACTAAGTGCACTAACACTGTTAGTCACGAATTATAAACCAGACAATTTTTTTAGGAACGAAAAAAACCATCAGTCCTGAATGGAGGGACCCATCATCGTCTCACAAATGTCTAATTCCTGTCCTCCACACAAAAAAGACTGAACGGGGAAAAAAAAAAGGGAAGAAAAGTGAAAACAGAGACTTTGAGTCCAAAAGGGAAGCTTATTTGCCCAGTAACAGGATTGAACTGTTGACCTTCGCATGACTGTATAATTGTCTTTCAACAGTTATTAGTACGACGCTCTAACCAGCTGAGCTAACCGGGCTGGTTTGTTTGATGACAGTTGTGGATGGAAGCTGTGGATATCTCGGCGGAGAGGGGGTGGAGAGAGAAACTGTGACAAACTGGAACCCACTCATTCACTCACATATCCAATTTTTTTTTCCTTTTGTCAGAGAAGAACCGGAGCCGAGCCGAGGAAAAGCTGTTAAAAGTCTCGATGAATGGCTGCAAAGCCTATTGTGTGCTCTTGGAATCTAAAAGCGACAAGATGTTTGTTGCGATGTAAGGAAAATAGGTACCTAGGGACATAGCATGGTCCGAAGACATTGTATAACCTCAGAATACACAAACCAATTAAAGACCAAAAAAGTAAAAGGAGACTCCAAAAGAAAAGATAAATGCCCAGTAACAGGATTGAACTGTTGACCTTCGCATTAACCAAATGTGGCCTGTTGAGACGATATTAGTACGACGCTCTAACCAGCTGAGCTAACCGGGCCAGGTTGCTTGTTTGATGAATGGTGTGGATGGAGATGGTGGATTTTAGCTCGCAGAGTTTGCCACGGAGAGTGGATAGAAGTCAAGGGAGCGAATGCATTGTCGCCGAGGCCGGTTCCAGTCAGCCTTTGAGAGGAAAAAAAAACTCGGTTGGTGATCCACTAACTATACACCAAACTTTGCCACAGAGTCTCTGGAAAAGAGAGTTCAACAACACGTGTCACAAATTTACCCGACAAAGGAGTAGATTCTCACTCCCACGAACCGGAGTTTAAGAGTAAATCGAAAACGCGGGAACTAACACAAGAGAATATTACAAACCCATAGTCTCAAACAACTCAAATACTAGGCAATAATGTGCAACGAACACAACAGCGGATAACGTCGAGAACCGGAAACCTAGGAAGGAAATTTCCGTGTGCCAAACTTGCCAACACAGCCACTAGAAACTCCGTAAGAGAGACTCCGCAAGTCAGCCAGACTCTGGCAGTCAGAAAAGTTTAGTAAGGAAAGCTACGTGTAGCACAAAATGAAAAAAAGTAGAAACCTAGGCAATAAGTAAACCACCCGTGTGCCAAACCACCTAGATACCAAAACAAGCAATAGAGGCCATGACTCCGCGTCCCAAAGTGCCACAACAATGAAAAACTCAGGGAAAAAAAAAATTCTGTGTACTAAACTGCTAAACTCCGTGTATTGCTTATGCTTAGTATACTGCCAAAGAAGGGGAAAAAATTAGGAAAAGAAAAGGATTTTAAACTCAAAAGACAACAGCTATTGTGTCAGAGTGTCCACACGATTTAAAAACTCACGAAGGAAGACTCCGTGTATCGAGATTCGTCAAAATAACAAGGAAAAAAGTTGGAAAGAGAGAGAACTTGATGTCTCACAAAGAAAGTCAACGCAAATCCGAGTCTCCCCCCTCCTGTACTGAACGCCGAAGAGAGACTCCGTGTCCCATACTTCCAGCGTAATTAGACGTTAAAAAAACAAACTCAGAAGAGGGAAGAACCTCAAGTGAGATTTACCAAAACTCCAAACACTGCCAACACAAAAATGTACAAGCTGAGAGAAAGAGAAGAACGCCCAAGATCCCACCATAATCGAAACATCCACCCAAAAAGGGAAAGAAAAATAGGATGGATGCCCAATAACAGGATTGAACTGTTGACCTTCGCATAGACCAAATATAGCCGATTCAAGACAATATTAGTACGACGCTCTAACCAGCTGAGCTAATCGGGCTGTGTTGTGTTTGAGTTATTCTTCTGATGGAGGGATGGATCCGTAGTAAACTCTTTGTGGGTGTATGGGTGGATGGGTGGGTGAGTGGACTCAAGGGCTGTCTACAAAGATACTTGGTTAGGTATTGTTGATTCGCTTGCTTGTTGGATTTGGTAGAGGTGGGTCGGTATTGGGAGTGCAGGTGGATACTTCAGATCTTGCTTCTATTCTCGTGTGGTTATGATTTCAAGGGTTCCGTCAGTTGGCGGGTTGAGTTCCCTTGAGATGGCGGTCGGTGGATCGTCTGTCTTTGGCTGAGAAAACTCTCCGGGCGAGAAAGTGCTGTGTCTGAAAGTATCAGGAATAGAGTGCGCAATGCACACACAAACAAAGTATTGTTGTTCGCTTCCAAACTGTGTTTGTAAATGAGGTACAGATCTGGCATTGCTCTCCGTCCTGATCATACGGAGACTTAGTAGATGCACTTCATGGAATGCAGTGTCCCAAGAATTGCTTCTTCGCTTGAGTTGCATCAGTCATCTATTGCGCCGCAGCATGGTATATATGATCTATTTAGATGATCCGTAGTTACGCCAGGCCAACAGGGTGCGACCAAAATGCCATACCCACGCCATCAACTTGCCACGCCATCTACTTCTCCAGGCCCAGGTCCTTGAGGAACGCCTCAGTGCTTGGCTTGCGGCCCAAAAACTGCTCCAGAGTGAGCATCTCATCCTGTGAGCCTCCTCTCTCGAGGACCGTGTGTCTGTACCGACGACCGTTGGCCTTGTTCATCGGGTCGTCCTTAAAGACGCTGTAGAACATGTCGGTCGAGTAGACTTGAGAAGAGAGGTAGCCGTAGTATCCGGCGTCGTAGCCACCCATCAGGTGGCCGAAAGTAGCTTGTCCACTGCCCCAGTCGCTGCGAGATAGTCAGTAACGTATGATTCAGATGCCGCAATTACTTGTCCGTAGTTACCTCGGCTTGCCTTGGGCCTCGGGGCCCTTGATACCGGAGATCTCGGCCCGCATGTCGTTGTATACCTTGCTCACATCCATCTGCTCCAGCTCGGCATGGGCCTTCGGAGTGTGGATCGTCATGTCGAAGAGGCCGAAATGGAGCTGACGTAGGTTGAAAAGGGCATCGTTCACGTGCTTGGTTGACACCACCTTCGTGATCAGATCGTCAGGAAGTTGCTTGCCCGTCTCGTAGTGGCTGCTCAAGCTCTTGAGCTGGGCTGGTTTCCAGCACCAGTTCTCAAGCATTTGACTCGGGGCTTCAACAAAGTCTCTAGCTGTGGAGGTTCCGTGATACCGAGCATACCGAGTGCGGCCTGTCAAGTCATGAATGCCGTGGCCGAGCTCGTGGAAAAGAGTCACGACCTCGTCGTGCTTGAGAAGCGAGGGCTTCTTGGGTGTCGGCTTGCTGAAGTTGCAGACTAGGGCAGTAGCTGGGTACCGTCTTGTGCCGTCAGGCTTCAAGAAGCCGGGCTGGAGGCCGAAGTTGGCGGCATGACCGTACTTGCCCGCTCGCGGATGGAGATCGAGATAGAGGTAGCCGACAAAGCCCTCTCCCTCAGAGGCATCATCCCAGACGCTGAAGATGATGACATCCTCATGCCAAGAAATATCCTCACCCTTTCCAGTCGGCGAAATGCGCTTGCGGTCCTCAGGGGTCAGCTCAATAAAGACCAGGCCGAATAGCTCCTCGAAAATGCGCAGCATTCCTGCCACGGTCGAGGTGAGAGGGAAGTACTCGGCGACAGCATTCTCGTCGACGTTGAACTCCTGCTCCACCATCATGCGGTCGTAGTAGCGGTGGTCCCAGAGATAGTAGTTGCCATCGAAGGGAAGGTTGCGGGCCTCGTGGTCCTTCTTCTTGAGATCCAAGAGGTGCTCAAGCTCTTTGGCGCCGCCTGCGATCAGGCGCGACTTCAGGTCCCCAAGGAAGTCGAAGACCGTCTTGGTTGTCTTGGCCATCTTATCCTCGATGCGGAAGGAGGCATGGTCGGGGTAACCCAGGAGACGAGCGGCCTCGTCGCGGAGGACGATCGCCTCCTTGAAGAGAGGGACGTTTTGGTTGCATTTATTTTCGTTATCAATAAACACTTTCTTCCGCACCTCGGGGTTCTTGGCATACTTCATGGTGGGGAACAGGTCAGGGTACTTGAAGGTCAGGAACAGCTTGCCCTCGTTCTCGCCAGTTCCCTTATTCAGAGTGTCCAGGACGTCCTCGGGGACGCCGTCGAGCTCCTCTCTGGTGAACCAGTTGCCGCCGTTCTCCTCGTTCAGGTTCTTTGAGAAAGCGATGGAGATCTGGCTCAGGCGCAGCTTGATCACCTTGAACCGGTCCCGCTTCTCGCCGACGGGCAGACCAAGACCGGCCTTGATGTAGCCCTGCCGCTCCCGCTCCAGCAGCCGCGCGCTCTCGACATCGGCAAGACCGGCGCTCTTGGCCAAAGCCTCGTCGATGACACGATCCTTGTCCTTCTCCTTGCTGGCCACAAGCCCGCTGTCCTTATAGACGGCATCGACGAGGCCGAAGACATCCTCGCGCATGCTGCACTCAATTCCGAACTCGTTCTCAATCTTCTCGGCCTGGGAGCTGGCATCACGGAGCTCGCTGTTGGGGCTGACATGTTGGTAGAAGCCCCGGATGCGGGAGCTCAGGGCAGCCTCGTTCTCATCCTCAATCTGGGGCAGAAGAACACTGTCAAAGGTGGCCGCCTTGGGGTTCTCAGCGGGCTTGATCTCAGCCACCAGCTTGTCCAGCAGGGCACGGGTCTTCTTGACTTGAGCCTCGGAATCGGCGACGATGCTCTCTTTGGTGCCCACGAAGAGCGGTGGAGGCTGGGGAGGGTTGGCGAATTTGGCCATGCTGAAGTTGGACGGGTGCGTCAGCAGCGATGACTGGCTCGTGTAAGTGACGGTCGCAAGCGCTGGGCCGGGCTGGGTTGCCGTGAGCCCTACCCCAGGAGCAGGAGGCTTTGGGTAGTGGGCGTGCTTGAGGGAGCTGAAGATGGATTGGAGGCGGGGGACTACTCGTGGCGAGGCCAGGATGACGGCGACGGTGGAGAAGAGGAAGATGGAGAAGATCAACAGGATGGTAGCCTGCCGAACTCGGGAGAAGGTTGCGGACGCCAGGATGAAGGCGGCTTGGGGTTGGGCAGGAATCCGAGGGGTGAAATGTGTCAATGAAAGGAACGGCGGGCTCGGATGGTGTTGCTCGGGAGCGCGTCCAGTAAGACGGTGTTGGTCGCTTGTAACTTGTCACCTGCGGGGGAGCTTGGATGGCAAGCAGCGCCCGGTGGCCAGTGCCTAGTGGAATGGCGGGCAGAGGATCGATTGGTCCGTCAGATGGAGTGGGTGGTGCGCCCAACTTGGACACTTACCTAACAACACGTCCCGCAGTAGAATAGCAGACACGAACTAGCAGCAGAGATGATACGATGACAGATTGGACGGACTGAGGAGGGAAGTATTGGAGGCTGCTAATGTTCTCTCCAAGCAATTGGGGTTTGGGAATGACGTTAAAAGGTGAAAGGCGACGAGGGAGCTAAACCCCCCAGCGACATTGCTGTAGCGTGAGGTTTGGACGCCAAGACAGGCTTGCGTCGACGCTCCTACTCCTCCGAAACTCCAACTCAACAAGAGAAGCGGCATAGTAAGGTCTGAAACTCGGAGGCGTATATCATAATGATGGCTTAGATTGGGCGAAGAAATACACCTATGTACCCAATTCCTTTCGTTCCATATGTCTGATTTTAAAGAGTTCCCGTCTGTATAATAATAATCAGGTAGACTGCTCGCCCCTCGAATATGACTGAATCTAGGTTCCGCGGTGCATATGCAGCAGATGCTCAGTGACCCCTGAACAAGCCCAAATACTTGCTCCCCCTCTCTTTGTCTAATATAATAAATACCGCGCAGGCCCAAACAGACAGTCACAGATCCTGGGCCAGATGATCTCTTCATCAGTAGTAGGCAAATAAGTCGCGTATTTACTGTTAGTTATCCCCTCGCCCCGCGAGTGGTCCACCCAGCAGCAACACGGCGGCCGAGAGTCTAAGTCGACAGATCCACAAATTCAATACAGTTCAGATTGCGCGCAAAAAGACTCCAACGCCAGCCGACCTCCCCTCAGAAACCATGCAATAATGCCCATGGATGGATGTTCCCCGTCCTGAAAAATAGAAACCCCCCCTTTTTTTCCCGCAACGAAGGGGTAATGGTCTCTAAATAAACCCCGATAAGACACCCCAGTCGATTTCGTCGCCCCTCTAGTTGGCCAGGATGGTGCGGACAAGTTCTGTTGGGAGGAAATGTCAGCATTGGCCCCTTGATCTCGTGTTGCCCCATATGTTTGGACGTGTAGACGCACCTGTGTAGTTGACCTGTCCGGATGTGGTGTCGACGGCCTTGAGCAGCTCGTCAACCTCTTCCTCGGTCATCTTCTCGCCTAGGTTCGTTAGGATGTACTTGAGCTGTCCGATACCGATGAAGCCGGTCATGTCCTTGTCGAACACCTGGAAGCCGCGGCAGTACTCCTCGGGCTCGCCAGGGTCGCGGAAGCCGCCAGGCCTGTTGAGAATGCGCTGGAAGGTCTCGAAGTCGACTATAGTGGGGGAAAATGGACTTGTTAGCCAGTGGTCTATCTAATCAAATGTTGCCGTGTGCCATGGCGGAACGGCCGGGAATCGCAAAACACGAGGTCTGGGGAAGCACTCACATTCACCAGCGACATTCTTCTCCAAATCATGGATCTCAGACAGGGTCGGGTTCTGGCCGCAGGCGCGCAGCAAGTCTCCCAGGCAGTCGAGAGTAACGCGTCCAGTTCCGCGCTTGTCGAATAGGGAGAATGCCTCCTTGTAGTTGGTGGAAGCCTGGTTCTCGAAGTTAGACGTCATTGTGTCTGGTTGTTTGCCTAGTGATGCGCAAGACTCGACTCGATGGTGGTAGGTACAGAGTTGGTGGTAAGATGACGGAAAAGATAGTAAAAAAAGCGTGCTTGTGCAGGCGTG